CTCGAGTTGCAACCAGAGTCACGGAACGGATTAAGTTCGTAACTAGAGGTACCACTGTAGTTTTTTCTTATGTTACTGGATCACTGTAGATAAATGTTCTATCTCCTGCTTGCTAGTCTAACATTTCCCCAAGTATACTAGGATGGCACCTACTTTCTAGAAATAAGTCCCTCACCTATATTTTGGAGGCATAAATCTTCATAGTTGTGAACTATGCCTAAAGATCCATTCTTTTGCCTAGAGATTTCTTCTATCAATGTTTGTATGGATAGTATGCTTGTGTTTAATTATATTGCATATGCTCCAAATGCTTTTACTTCTTGCATTTTACTTTTATGCTTATCAAATTATGTTTTATCAAAATGTATGTACTTCACCTGAAGATGTCTTTTGATATGGGATAAAAATTACATAAATAAAACATGCATGACAAAAAAATTGAGTGTGGAATTCATGTCAAGTACAGCTGGGAAAAAGATCTGTGGGATTCTAAAACCACAACCGGATTCATAAGAATTACATGGTGAACTGAATATGTAATCAGATCTAAGAGGCATCATCTTACAAGAGTCATCCATTAACAGAAACATGCAGTTCTCATTTAAAAGCTAGGAAAATAGCCTTTTTGTCATTATATGCAAATATATGCCAGTTCTGTCAAGGTATTGACAGATAAAACTCAAACAAGGACAAAGATTAGTTTAATTGATATAGCCCAAATCAAACCCTCCATGTCAATTTAACATTGTGCATTTTCTTTAAATTGTTTATAATTTGATCCGTAGCTAACAAAATCTGAGTTAGAGACTTGCTCAGATTTGCATATGCAAATGTATCTGGAGCACATCTCAGCACCAAGACTGAGACGAAGCTGGAATCTCTTGGGTGCAATAAGAATCTGTCAAAGGACAGATAAGACTATTTTCCTTCTTCTCTTTCCATACACAGAGTGAGGACATAAGAATCTTTTGGATTAGATCATGTAAGTGGACAATCCCACAAACAAATGAACAAAGCCTGTTCTGCAAGGACAGAGATAAGTTGAATGGATCCAGATGTAACTATGGGTGCTTGAAGGTGCTGACATTTTCTAGTGTCCCAGTTTCTTGCAATAAAATCATTTCATATCAGGGGCCTCTCCTTCAGCTTGACTCTGAGTCTGTCAAAACAATGAACAACCCTTCAGTGGAAGTGGATTAAACTTTATTTGACAGCATTTTATTTTAGATCAGCTTCACTGTTTTAAATATTCCCTTACTAAGATTTGATAGCTAACTGAAATTGGTCTTGCACCAAATGCAGTGGGTGAGTAGAACATTTGATGCTGTGACCCTAATAAAACTGGGCTGAAGCAGTTCATTAGATAAGAGGCTATAAGAAGTTCCATTTAATAACAACAGTTCCATGTAACTTTTTTTTTCTTTTTTGAGCAGCCATTGTAAACCTTCTTTCTTACCTCCCATAATCAGAAAACTCCAGATCATCTATTGCTGAAAAGGAAGCTAGCATTAATTCCCTTTTGCAAACAAATACAAACCAGAAATAGATATAAGATGCCAAGGAATATAATGTCTTCATGTCTTGCACGGACAACATGAAATATGAGGCTGCTAGCAAAACTGGAAGAAACATAGCTCTCAAAGCTCTGGCCTAAATCCTGCCTCTGATGTGTGCAGCTTTAAGCAGTTGAACCAAAGCTGGTTTCTGATAAAGGAACACCTCCTTGTGAATGTTGCAGAGTGCTGCTGAGGGCCATTAGAAAAACGGTAACACACTTCTTAGTCTCTAAAATGCCACAAGACATGTGGTTGCTAAAGAAAGATCATCGAGGTGTCTCTCCTAGCTGAAAGCAACCATGGGCTTTTTGTAGATTTCCCAGGCTCTGGATCAAAAAGGAGTCCACCACTGCAGAATTGCAAAAATCTACAGCACAGAAAGATGCTTTTCTACTTTGCTGGGTTCATTCTTATGACATGGCAGGGTAAGTATTTTTGCTTTCTTGCACAATGATTTGTTTTCACTGAAGTTTGGGAGTCATCAAGGGGTACAGATAATATCAAACTGAATTATAAAAATGCCTCAAATGAGAACAATAATATATAGCATTAATACAATGGAGATAACATTCAAAAGTTGTCCATATATTAGTTCAGTACTTAGAATCAACAAATGATTAAATCATATCCTGGTATCCTGATGTCATATTCTCCCTTTGTTAAATATCAGAGTTACTAATGAATAAATTATTGATACTAGAATTTCTACTTGTAATAATAATTGCCTTTAAGTATTCCACTGCTTACTCTTATCTTGACTTCCTTTTTTGAATATTTATTCTAGCTTCTGAGATGAGTAAAAAAATCTCACTATATTCAAATTGGATTGTGGAATCTCCTGGAAAAACAGTGGCAATCCAGTGTAGCTTCCCAAGAGAAGAATCTCAGTTCCCAGCAATGTCATGCTACAAGGAAAGGGAAGACAAGCACCTTTATAAGATTTATGATTGTACCATAGGTGCAAAGTCAGAAGGAAAGTATTCATGTAGCACGGATAAGCAGACCTACTACGCTCTAGTTATTAGTAATGTGAGCAGAAATGACTCTGGAATTTATCACTGCTTCACCCCTAAACCTGGGTCTTATGAAATCTGTAACACAACTCAACTGATCATCACAAGTGAGTGTTCCAAAAGAGTTTGACAATGATTTTATGTCATGCCAGGATGAACTTTCTGCCCTACAAACTATACTAATCCAAAATTTTCCATTGGATGAGTAAGATTGCATTGTGCAGGAATCAAAATGGATCAAGTATTTTGATTGGATGAAAAGCAGTGTTTGCTTTACACATTAAAAACCCGATTGTGCATTATCTGTCATACAGTTTATCACAACCATTTAGCTTCCTGAGTTTGCTATTGCTTTCTTAGGAAAACATGCATTTTCTTCTAGAAAAGATGGCTTCCCCATTTCATCTCATCATAAATGGATGCCCTCTCTTTTCCAATGGCATTTCCCCAAGTTTATTGTTTTAGAGATATAAGTGATTTAGTCAATAGTGTACGGAGTTTTCCTACAATACTCACCCTTGCCTTATAAGTCAATTTCACGTTTTCTTCCACACACAGTAAGTTTAGAAATACTTCTTCTTTCTTCTACCCCTCATTTTCTCCCTGCCCCACATTTACTAGTTTTACTATTATCACCTAATCCAAAGTGTTTTAATAGTGGTTACCACAACTTTTTAAAATCAGGCAAATCACTTTATTTTTTCATAGCACTTTGGAATGTTTATTTTGATATATGCACGCATCACTTCTTCCCTCCCTGTGCATCTATTTACCGTTGTCCTTCCTAAACATTTCAGCTCTGTCTTTCTGCTTCTAACTGAAAAGGCAGGGCTGTCCTAGGACTTTCTGTAGCTTGTCCTGAAGGGGAAAATCAACAGACAGGATGATGTCTTCCCCGGGCTTGAAATCCTTTGAGCGTGTAAGTAGTAGGATTTTTTAAAATGTCACAACACTTTTATGATTCTTTCCAGGTTTTTCTAGGCAAAGCCTTTCCATGCTTGCACCTTCCATTGGGGAGGATGCTCAGGTGAAACACAGTATCCCATTACTCTGCCTGTTCTGGGATGCAAATCCTGCTTGGGATAGTATCTCCTGGAATTTTGCTGGGGAAACATCTCAGGATGAGTATATTAACCCAACATATAGGCAAGAGCTTTTCAACATATGGAGCCTGAAGATGATTTCTTTGGCAAGATGGATCAACAGAACATCTTTTAGTTGTTCAAGTCCAAATGGAAACATGACTTCTGAAGTTATTAAAAAAGGAGCGTCTGCAAACACAGGTATGATACAGCAGGGTTAGGAATTTATGACACTGACAACATCTTCATCTGGCAGCACTGCCTTCCAGCTAAACTCTAATGATACTATCTATAGAAGGGTTGGATTTTGAAGAGGGATCTGAGGAAGTAAAGAGGATGTAGCCCCCGATTGGCCTTCTGTATATAGGCTAGATAGATTGGAGATAGTCTGGATTGGAGGGCAGCAGGTGTGATAGTCTCAGAAAGGGGGGGACAGGGAGAAAAGTGTATCTCTCCCTCTTGAAAAAAGGCATTGAATATAATTGTATTAGATACATGAAGAACTAGAAAGCCAAGGATTTAAGGAGATAAACAAACAGCCAAAATAGAGTTCTGTCTCAATATGGGTCACCACCTGAGTAGAAGATCATTCTTGGAGTTTAAGGTGATGAAGCAAGCAATGTGAACTACGGCAGAATTTCAGTAGCAGACCATTGGATATTCAGAGCTGGTCACTGCAGAGCAAATCAGCAGATCACAATTCATATGGCCCTTCACCCTAACCAGCCAGGTATGGCATTTTAGGTATTGAGTGGTAGAAGCAGGCAACCCAGGCAATTGCCCAGGGCTCCACATTTGAGGGGTCCCCAGTTTTGGTACTGATATCAGTGAATAAAACTAAAATAAACATTTCAGTGTTCTTTCATAGTATTATATGAAAATATCTGATGCCATCAGTGTGTATTCAAGTGAATGATGATTAAGAGATGATGATATGTGAAGATAAGTTGAAGCCTTCCAGAATGAATAAATGAAAAAAATATCACAATTTGTTAAGATATATGCTGACAGCTACAAGGACAGTTCTGACCCAATGAAAGAGACACTTTGCTGACAATATCGGAATGGGAAAACAAACCTGGGGAATTTGCAATGGCAAAATTAATGTTATATACCCAGGACAGAAGTTTGGCTAAAGTAAAGCAAGAATGGCTCCCCCATGTATCGTGTGTAACACAACAAGGCAATCTCAGACACTCTAGAGTACAGTTTTTAAGGGGGAAATCATTGATGAAAAGACAGTAATTACAAGCAATGTCAACGTTTAGAAATATTTTGATACAATCACCAGCTGGGTACAATCGGAGGGAATTTAGAATTTAATATTGCTTTTACTGCTTTTTCTCCTTTTTATTGTTTTGTTTCTTTTTTTCTCTCTTTTCCTTTTCCCTTTTCTTTCCCTTTACACGATTATGTGCTTTTGTTTCAGGACACTGACCAATAGTGGTGATATCGATATTAATATTAATGTGTAGAGTTTTATAGATATTTTTAGTCATTTATGAAGATGATATAATGAACCTGGTTCTATGCATTTAATTAATTAGTTAACTGATGGATTGATTAAGGAAATAAAGAATTTTAAATTTTAAATCCTTTATTTACTGATATTTATTCTTTATCCACTATGTCTTTTTCTGCCTCTTCTTCTTTTATGGTCCTATTTATTCTGTTCTTTAAATGTTTTAAACAATTTTTTTTTTTTTTAAAGTTTTCCCCTCCCCCCCCCCCCAAAAAAAGGATAGGTTGAATCCTTCATCATGCAGATATATGAAGAACAGAATTTTATAATTTGTTGTTTGCTTTCAATTATGAAGTATGCTAATTGTACTTTCATAGCAATTTCATAACTTGAGAAATATTAGAACAAAATCAGATATATCACAGCTGGTAAGTTGCTGATAGATTGTAAAAACTGGGTCCCCATTTAGACTCTTGCCAGTGCCCCCAAAATTCTAAGGCTACTATTGGGGACAGGTAGGCACTTACCCCACAAATAATGCATTAACTTTCTGTCTCTTTTACAGGGCAATGTAATCTCTTTTTATATTTTGGAGTACCTTGTATCCTCCTCCTATTTTCTGCAACCTTATGCTTAATCTTCAGAAAACATCCTGCCCGAGGTAAGTCCTAATGATCTATTTTGGTATGCAGTTGGTACTAAATAGAAAAGCAAATTCTGTGACAATATTTTCTCCTGCTGCCAAAATTCAAGCCAGAGTGGCTCACAATATGAGGATGTATTTCCAGCTGGGGTTAGATAGCAGCAGTTCCCATATTTGTTTGCAGAAACAATATTACAACAGTCTTCATGCTTTAGGCCAGAACACACATAAAAGGAACACGTCAGAACTAGAGTTTGATTCAGCAGCTGCCATGCAATCAGCTCACCATCTCAGTTTCTCTTCAGTCCAGAGGGCTTCTTTTACGTCAAACCAAGTCTCCAGGAGATGACATATTCTCAGTGACTTTTTTCAGAAACAGCCTATACATACATACATACGTGCATACATATATATATAATTTTTTATTAAAACTTTTTAAAATAGAAGATAAAAACTAATACAAACTAATATAAAGTAAAAAGAAAAAGAAAGAAATAGAAAGCAAAAAAGTGCAAGAACAGAAAAAAAGAAAGAAAAATAGAAAAGAAAGAAAAAAGATACTAGGAAGTGGCTTCTGATATTCTTCACGGCAGTTATAAGTACAACTATATTTTAACCTCTTTCTTATGTAATCTTAAGTTACATCATAATATTCTTTCTATAATCTAATATAAAAACAGTGTATAGAGATGCACGTACAGTATAGATTGTGTGCATCATCTGTTGTGAGGTTATGTTTTGTCTCTTAAGTAAAGAAATAAATAAAAATACTTATTTTTAAAATAAAGAAAAAAGCTGAAGTAAAGACTTACCTTCCATGACTTTGCTTCAAGTGCTGAAAAATTGGCTGTATCATTTCTAATCTTAATTTCTGCCAATACTATAGAAACCAAGCAATAGTCGAAGTTGTCTAAATATAAGGAAAGCATTGGAACAATAAAGCGGGTTCTTATACACTTATTAAGTATATAAAAAATATTTCAATTTTCAGCCCATGATATTTTCAGTGGCAGTTTTTCCAGGGCTAAAATAGCAACAAATTTGTAAAGTGCATTGCAGCACATCAAGCTATCATTCAAACTCATTCAACCTTGTCTTCTCCTGATAGGAACTGTACAGGAATTAACTAATCAAATACTCATGAGGAATATCCATCAGGTAACCAGCATTTCAAAACTATGAGTCTTGTCAATATTTGGAAAAGTGCTTGTGAAAAATAAGTATGAAGTCTTCAGATAAGCCAATGTTTTCATAATGGGAAGTGAGATTCATCTTGGATTAAGAAATGGGGAAGAAGGAATATAAAGGGCTGTGGAACTGCAGATTTAAAGTAACAGGTCAGTGGACAATGTTATGAGAATAGGCTTGTGTGGGCCTACTGTATTTATATCATTACCTCTGCTGAGCATAAATGACCTCCAGATGACCAGCTGCAGAAGTTTAAACTAGAATAAAGTTCTTAGGTGTTTTATTTTAAAATTCTCAGTATAAAGTGAACTGTAAAGGAAGCTTTGAGTGAAAAGTCAGTTTTCAAATTAATGTGTCTTTGCAATATTATAGAAATCAATTTAATCTGTAATGCATCACTCTGAATATTCATTATTCTTACCAGCATAATCTAATACACTCAAAAGTCACCATCCCCCTTGAATTCAGTGGATATGAGATTTTAAATTGCCCTTTTAATATAGATTGCATGATATCAGATGAATAAAAGAAGTCAGTTCAGAATATAGAAACTGTAATAGAACTGTTATGAATATTGGAATATTAATGGAACAGAGAGACTTGTTTCAAGCACAAAGAATACTTTTTTTCATTTTAGAAAGAAGCATTTTGATTTGATTTTTCAGAGGTAGGAAATGTAAAAATAACACCAAGTTCCATTTTATCTGAGAGAAAGGCTCATGCCATTTTTCATTTTTTTCCTTCTAGGCTGATTATTCAGAATTCAGTTGCAGAAATTGAAGTATGGTCCAAAAGAAATGGCTAGAACCCTGTGTTAAATGTCTGTGTCCCTTTTATAAGATGAAAAAGCACTGAGAAGAAAATATATTTCAGTTTGTAAAGATGATCTATTTTGGGTTGCTAATTGTAAATCTTTGTATTAAACACAGTTTAGTTTGCATTAATGTGACTCTATGCTCTATTTTTCAAATCTTCCTCTGGTGGCCTGAATGTGACCAAAGGCAATGAAAAGGGAGTGTGGAAACTCACATCAGGCTTACCTCTGGTGAGAACTCCAGGCCTGTAACATTAAAGGAAAATAACAGAAAATTATGTAGAAAGAAATATAACTTTGGGGTTGGGAAAAATATTTCTAAATGGACTGAAAGACCAGGGAAATCAAATTGGCTTTCCCATACAGAGGAGAAAAAATACATAAGCAGACAGATGTTTGACATAGCCAACTGATTTAATATAGGCTAGCTGTCAATTTAATTATAGGCTAGTGAGGGTCAGGGAGGGTGTGCAAGGGTGCAGCATGGGTCAGTGTCTGTGCAGGGGTTGGGAGGGAGGGAAGGAAGGAGGGAAGGGACGGGGAGGGAGGAAGGAAGGAAGGAAGGAAGGAAGGAAGGAAGGAAGGAAGGAAGGAAGGAAGGAAGGAAGGAAAGAAGGAAAGAAGGAGGGATTTCTGATGCTCCCTGCCAGCTTTCCACAAGGAAAGTCAAGGGGAAAGCCAGTAGGAAGTTAGAAGTCACTCCTGCTCTCACTGCTTTTTTGCCTGCCCATGATCATTCTGTTTCCCTGTTTAGGTAAGGAAATGCCTCT